AGTTAATTTTTTTATTAGAACAGAAGTTTGTGCCATTTACAATATTGTTATAAGAACACCAAAAGTCTATTAAATGACATCTCTGAGTGTAACACAGGTTGGACTGTGTTAAGTAAAAAGCAGAAAGCAGTAGAAAAAGGCTGTTACCATTGCAACTGAGTTTAACAATAATTATGCATACTCCTATTTTAAGGTATGAGCTTCCCATCTTTTGCCCCTGACGCACATCTGCACACAGGCTTTTAACAGTAGCATCTGACAACAAAGGGGCTGAAGTGAAGCAAGGAGCCCTTGTTACAAGCAGCAATTCAAAAGTGTCTTAAAAATCAGCTTCAGAGGAAAGTGAACTAAGAAATTGAGTAAATAAAGATGTAGGTAGAAGATAACCAAAACAAACAAAGCTCTCCAAATCCGGATTTAAAAACAAACACACAGAGTGTTTACTAAGCCATGAGTAAAAACATTTGTCTTTATACAAACTGTGGTAATAACACCTCAAAGTTATAATATATAGCAAAGTAAAATATGCAATCCCTCTCCCATTTCTGCAAAACAAGTCTTAGGATTTCAGGGAAGTGTATCAATAAGATGCCAATTCAGAGTTTTGGAAGACACCAAGCAGAATCTTGGATAACTTACATCGTCAGCTATTCCAAACACTAAAGAAGTTAGGGATTTCAAGGTGACTGTCCCAAATAGCCATGCACATCCTTCAATAACCTTAAAAAAGAATAAATATATATATATATTCAGAATGAAATAAACATGCCTCAACAAACTTCTAAAGAAACATTCTCCTTTTTGAAAGGCTCATTAAATTTAGCTACTAGTTACAAATTCCCCTATGTTATCACTAATGAACACAGTAATTTCTAACCAATTGCACTCCCCAAACTTCAGTACTCTGGGGTATTTTAGGGATTTCTTGTATTCTCTATTACAGCTGAAATAATGTTGTGCAACTGATTTGTATTATGGCTGTACTGTTGCACACAGCATTGTACCAGAGGAGGTATCAAAGTTAACTTTAAGCAGGGGCAGCCTAACTGTCAATTCTGTTTCACACACACCAGTGTGTAGTGATTATTTCCTCTCCGTATTATCAGGTTGTACTACTCTGGTCATTCAAAACTCTGAAGGAATTTGCTGATTTATAGCACCTTTGCAAGATAATCTCAAGTTAGGATTTGAAGAAAGGATAAAGAAAGGAGGTACAATTACTATTAAAGCAGATTCTTGTATGTCACTACAACAAAACCTCTCATTTTGAAATTCAAAACGTATGGAATGCCTTACCCATACATAGACTTCTCTTCTGCTGCTTTTCAAGACTTTTGGACTCAATTCAAGAATTCCCTAATAAAAAAATCAATGTACATTTTCAGGTATCATATAACAACAAGATACTCCAGTACTCTGGATAGAAGGGGGGGTGTTGTTTGTTTTGGTAAGCACCTATTGTACCACACAGCTACTTATTAACCCCCTCACACACACATAATTAATACAAACTAAATATGAATGAACATATAACATCATGATTTCACTCTGCACTGACAAAATATACCAACATAAAATCTCTTACTGCAGTTTATATACAATTGATGGAAGACTACTCTTCTTAACAAGTAAGATTCTATATTACACAGTTCTAAGCATCTTTAAATCAAAGCCAATGGGAAACTGAATTATATCTGCTGCTACTTCTTGGAGAAGCAGCAAGAATCAGAAATGGAGATGATTTGTAGTATGCTAAACTATATCTGTCTACACAACCTTATCTCCTATTTCTTCCCTTAAGAGAACCTATAGGAAATTGAAAGAGGTTGGGAGTTGTTATTCCTATTTAAGGAAATATTAAGATAACTAATTATTAGATGATGAGCCTTCAGTGAATAATTTCACTAACAGGGCAGTATGACTCAGCAGTTTTGAACAGTCTTAAACCAGTTTTCATCATTTGTCCTGCATTTGTGGTTTCACAATCAATAAAGAAGCATTTAAGCTCGTCCTTGCTCATGTTCTTGTTTACCAACTCTGGTCAAGAACACATACGTGATAAATTTTATATTTGTATAAAAAGAAGAGAGAGATAAAAACAAGAGAACTGAGCCTGGAGCAGCTCTGCTCTGGAGCCAGGCTGAGAGAGCTGGGCTGGGGCAGCTGGAGAAGAGAAGGCTCCTGAAGGGGACACCTCAGAGAAGCTCCCAGTGCTTAAAGGGCCAACAAGAAACCTGGAGAGGGGCTTTGGACAAGGGCCTGTAGGGACAGGACAAGGGGAATGGCTTGAACCTGCCCCAGGGGAGACTGAGATGAGCTCTGAGGCAGAAGCTCTTCCCTGTGAGGGTGCTGAGGCGCTGGCACAGGGTGCCCAGAGAAGCTGTGGCTGCCCCATCCCTGGCAGTGTTCAAGGCCAGGTTGGACACAGGGGCTTGGAGCAACCTGCTCTAGTGGAAGGTGTCCCTGCCCGTGGCAGGGGTTGGAGCTGGATCAGCTTTAAGGTCCCTTCCAACACAAACCATCCCATGACTCTTAACATTAACTTGATTTCTCTTATGAAGAGGTTTTGGTATAAAAACATGGGGTTTAAAATTAGTATTTACCCATTCTCCAAGTATCTTTTAAGTATAATTCTGTTTCTCAACTGAAAGATTTCTCAACTATCTGGTAATGCAGCAGCTTCACGTTTTACATCAGTATGTATACAGCAATACAGCATTACAGTCTTAGTGTGTTAAATGTTTTTCTTAACTTACCCAGATAACTACTAAAGATGCAGCATAATATGATGTCAATAACATTGAATTACCAAACATCAGAATAAAACACACTACAAGAGCTACCTGAAAGAAAATAAAAATAGTTTATTTAAAATAGAAAAGGTTAAACTGCCCCAGTATAAAATTTACCCTGTAGCAACAGCTTTCAATTTAAAGACACCTACTTCACAGCAAGCACGAGTTTGATATTCAAGTATACAGAACTGGTCTGAAAAAAATTATTATAAGGACTTAATGGCAACAGGTAGCCAAGTGTAGATTATTATGTTAATTTATATTTCAGAAGTACTTAAGAGACAAAAAGATTTGATCACAGGACTAATTCATCTTAGGTGATACAACAGCTACAGTTTTGAAGTTAGTCCTAACATACTCAGTAAATTACTGCATTATTTCTCCATCCTGTTTGTTATCTTTCAGAATCCTGGCCAAGCACAGAAATGGAGAATAAAACGTTTGTTTTCTTCTTTCTTGCAAACTGAGAAGCATATATTTAACATATACTCTTCACCAAAAACAAGGACGCAGAACTCTGACTGTGATTATATGCACTTAATCATATGAGGTTGAAAGTCGAGGCTGAGCTACAACTTTTATCTGCCATCCTGATCTCCTACTGTGCTTTCTTTTTAACAGAGAGCAAGCTGAATTACATTTGCTATCTTGGAGAGCAAAATCAATGATCAATCTGTCTTTTACGCAGAGGAATCAAGAAGAAGAATGTAGTTACTTTTAAAATATGCAGACTTTTCTATTTCCCTCCTCACACAGGCTTTCATCTTCCGCAGAAAAGGGGGAGAGTGCAAAAACTAAAAACACAAAACAAAGTCTGGCAGTTTACCCAGCCTCATTAAGCTTTCTCTGTAATATAACCTAACTGTCTAGCTATCTGAGAATTGGCTTTTTATCACACTTTGGCACCAAAAATATGATATAGCTATTGACATAAGTGGAAAGACTTAAGTATTTCACCTGCTTCTGTCAGGACATTATAAAACCAAGATGATTATTTGCAAATCTTCCTGGCAAATCTGACTGAGAACAAGCATTTGGTGTTCCAGGTTTATATCACTTTATCTTCTTTGTCCTCCTTTCTAAATACTCCTCCAACGCTAAAGAGTGTATTCTCTAATTTTGACTTAATAACATCTCATTATTTCCTTTCTGCTAACCTATGGCATGAGCTGAATGCTGCCTTTTCCACTTCTTATTGCTCATGCTTTATTACTTGGTCTGTTTTCTACTGTGTTGTTTGAGACAGTATCTTCAAGTCCATGGAATGAATAGAGACAGAAAGGAGAGAAAAGTATTTCCACGCATCTTTTAGGTTGGCAGTCTTTCTGGAGTACCAAAATTCCTGTGTACCACAGGGATCGTAGTTTCTGACAGCGTGATATAAATATGCATAAGATCAAATATTCAGATCCAGGCCCCTCCATCCCTTATTATTGCATCTTCTCAACCACCTTGCAACTAAGGAAAACACTTCAGACAAATAGGCTGTTTTGATGTTCTGACCTATCTGAGGGGATTTAAGTTTTTAAAAAGCATTACCATGTGAGCAGCGAGTATCTTCTGTAATTTGCAGGAGTCAATATAACCCATAATACACACAGCAAATAATGAAGCTATCTAGAATTGAAAGTGAAAGAGAAGTTAAGACAATCTGCGGTGGTGTACACATTCATACAAAAATAAGAGATTATTGAAACAATCATTAACTATTCATACTAAAAGGAGATGATTCAAAGAATCACTAACTTCTATCGCTGCTTTTTCTGCTAAGTACTTATAAAAACATGAGTCACCAAAGCACAGCACTAACACATCATCTTTCACCCAAACCACCAACCAAAACCCCCCAACCAACAAAAGGAATCTTTCCATTGACATTTTTTAACCTTAACTTTTCAGCAAAGTATGGGAATATCCATAATTTGCTGCTGAGAAAAATGAGATTCATTGATTAGACAAGCTTAGTTCTTGCGAATGCTCCATCCCTGGCAGTGCTCAAGGCCAGGCTGGACGGGGTCTTGGGTGACATGGTTTAGTGTGTGGTGTCCCTGCCCATGGCAAGGGAGTTGGAACTAAACTATCTTAAGGTCCTTTCCAACCCTAAGTATTCTATGATTCTACTAAAGACCATCTGGGAAATGAGTGAAATGGTGAATTGAACCTGTAATCTCAAACTTCAGGCCCAGCATTTGAACACGTTACAGTGATAAGCTTCTCACAACATTTTAAAGAATTTAATGGCTTCCTCTTCTGCAGTTAGAAAACTTTCATACCACAGCATGTATTGATTGTTCAAAGCTAGGAACTCAAGCCACTCAACAGCTGCTACAAGTAAGACAGACAAAGGAAAAGGGATGGAGACATAGATGGATTTCAATCAACGGGCTATATTTCAATCAATTTGAACGCTATGAAAGCGTGCTATATGACAGGATCCTACTGCTCACATTAGCATTTGCTGTATTTCAACACTTGCTAAAGTTATCTCAACTGTTTGAGCTCTCAAGACAGTAAGTTATGCCACGATTGACAGGCTCATCGAAATTAAATAGGAAATCATGCAAAATCATGCCAGATATTAACATGCCATGCAAACATTGCTCCATTTAAAAATTTAGAATGGCCTGAAGAGATGCAAGATCAATGCTTTTTTATTTCTGTACTTCAATATACGAAGTTTGTTCTTATTCTGCACTTGTTCTAATACACTGATCTTAGGCTGGTGGCTGCTTTTAAGGGAAAGTAAATTTTCTGCTCCTAGAAACAGAACGCTGAGTGGTGTAAATGGTCAATTTTTAAGTTTTAGACTAGAAAAATGTTGATGTGATAAATGGTGTGAATCTTTCCCAAGAGCAAAAATGAAATCCAGCTATAAGGAAAGCATCGGTATAGATGTGAATCCCGTGGCTATCTGTCCAAAACAGTCAATTTGCCTAGATAAAACAAAAAGGTGAATATAATCTTACCTGTGTTAGGAGAACAAACTGAGCAAACTGCCAGGGAAGCATGAAAAAGATATTAGAAACACACAGTGCAATCAAGCTTCCTGTATTAACATTCGGAATCCTTGGGAAAAAGAGACAGAATAGGCATCAGTAAGTAAAATTACACAGGTGTTTGCACATTATTGACAAGCACAATTGAGACTGCAACAAAACCAAAGTTACCTTGGAACTTAGCTAGCAATAGCCATCAACTACAAATAACACTGCTCAAGTAAATTTAACATCCGTTCTCCATCGGTTTCTAAAAACAAGAGTTCTGATGCTTAATGTTTCTTAACTATTATTAAGTCATTCATTACCAAACAAGTCTTCTGGCAGCATGCAATACAGCAGGCCAATCTATGTCACTTGTAGCTGTCCACCTACAGGCACGTCACCACCATTCCCATTTCAACTGGGATCACAACTGTTCTCAGAACGGTCTGCATTTGAAAGCAATTTCACTCCTCTGTCTCCCATTCCTTCCATATTTACATGTTTTCTTTGGCTTCTTTTACAAAGCCTCAAGATTAACTTCTGTTGGAAGTCATGCTGAGCATGAGTCTAATGCATTAAGTAATACATTATACAAATGTGACACAAGTGATAGGAATAATGAAGAATTTAAGTTCTAGTCTCTATTCCAAAGACAGTTCCTATGTTTCATTGGAATACTGCTATACATTAAACAGAGCTGCTCTTGATGCAGGAATTGTAACGGAGAAACAGAAAGTTAAAATGTTTTATCCCTTCTTTGAATCCTTGCTCTGAAATGCTTGGATTAAACACCTACTTATCATTAATATGAAAGCCCAACTAGTATTTATTTACTAAGATTTGAAGAACAGGAGTGAATCTATTTAATCAAGAAGTGTCATAATTATAGGTATGGAATCTATGTGCTCTGACCACCCTAAAAGTAATTTCCTCCTTTTCTGTCTGACCTCACAATATAGCATTAAATGAACAGATATGACATCTAGCGATCACTCTACAAACTATTCCTCAGATTTCTAGACAGCATGTAGCTTTTCCTCACCTAAAAACCACAAGTTAGTGACAAGCAGGAAACATTTTTGATTTAATCATCAAGAACTACAAATCGGTATGAGCTAATAAAGGATAAACTGGGGTTATAAGTACAATGTTCATCTAAATCATGAATATTTTGCAGATCTGATGTAATGGAGCTGGTGGAAAAGCCCTCAAGTACTAACAATCATGCTTATTTTTCAAAACAGAGGCAAGACAGTAACACGATCGTGTTGCAAGCCAGAAACAACCGTGGAAAAGCAGGGCTAAGAACTCAAGAGCATCCTTGCATTAATGTAATTAGGTTGCTCTAAATCACTGAACTAGTTAATTAGACTAGTTAGTCAGAAAGCTGTAAGAACATACTAGCTTATGAGTGCCTATAGCATCCTCTGTTGCATAGCATAGGCTTATTCTAAGCGCAACCAACATACCACTCTCCAAGAGGCACAAAACCAATTGATGGAGTATCAGCTTGTTTCTCATGGGAAGGAAGTGACATCAACCAAACATTCTGATTTTTAGTTTAGATACGTATTTGCCAACACAGTAATTCTGATTTTTATTTTAATCATGTCTTCAAGTTGCAAAGTTTTTTCCTTTTAATAAGTGAGTAATATGACTGCAGTTCTACTGGTGCAGCGTCTGCAATGTAACAGCCACAGGAAAGTTTCTATGTTAATAATATCATTGCTATAGCACACAGAGGCACTTAAATAAATGCATTTAAATAAATGTCTTATGACATTCAGTATTTTAAATCATTGTAAAGCGCTAAGTATAAATGGAGAAGTACCTGAGGATATAGGTCAAGAGCAACATCTGAAGCACAAGGAATGGGTATGAGAAACTTTCACGAAGAGGTGGAGTCCACATGACACGAGTGCACTAAAAATAAGAACTGGGTTAGATGATAACAGTTGCTGCTACATTTCCATAAAACAATGCATTTTTATTTCAGAAAGATGGACCACAGATACTTCAATTAAAAAAAAAAAAAAAAACCAACCCAAAAACACAAGCTACATCAGATTTTGCTCACCAACTTAAAAAAAGCCCAAGCCAGGAAGCAGAAAAGAGAAGGAAAAAGGAAGCAGCTTCCAGACTTGAGGTCTCTGATGCTCTGTTTAATTAAAATAGATCACTGCTTTTCCAAAATTAAATGTGGCAGCTAGAGAACATCCAAGAAAAAAGCCAGAACAGCAGCTGCCTGTCCCTGCTTCTGCTGAAATTAACAACTCACTCAAGTAATGAAAACCATTCTCAGATTCAGGCAGTGACTTGCCACACTTAGACAGAGAAAGCGTGTGGAGAGAGGAACTGAAGGATAAACCAACATCCTCTTCATTATGCCAGAGTTCTAGGTTATAAACATTTCACACTTCTACTAGTTAAAGCACAGAAAGTGTAACATCCAAAGCTGCCCTCCAAAACAGGCCAGTAGAATGGAACACATGAAATTAAGCTCTTACAGATCTTACACAAAGTTACATACTTTGCTCTTTAATCCTAATAGAGCAAAGCATAATACAATGAAGTCAACTGAAAAGCCTTTTCATTCACTTCTCGGGGTTCATGGCAAATGGCTCAGCTAGAACCATCATGTTCACTGTTTATATTCAGCTCTTTATAAAAAGAGCTCGCAGATGGCACTGACCGTCAAAAGCATAATTACCACTTTACAGAACAACTCTGACACACAAACAAATGCGTCTGAAATGGTTAGCAAGAGATTTGTACTAAAAATTAGAAATAGGTTCTTTACAACTACAGGAGAAAAAAGAATGTCGTTCATCTTAACAGGAACCATAATGAATCTACGAAATCTTATAGAATGCTGATGACAGGCTGTTTCTTCTCCTTCTTCTCCTATAATCTTAAAAACATTTTTCAAAACCCTGTTTTAACAAAGAAGTCACTAGAATCAACATGATACCATTCCTTGCTTACTGCCTTGCTATTTCACAAATATGTGAAATTAATAGTGTAAAATGAATGCAAAGTACAGAAGCTCATCACATGAATCACAGTCCTTGCTGTCTAAAAGCACTCTCCATAAAAGCTGCATCCCGATTACCATTAAAATGAATCTTGCATAAACATATATACTAATATGTTGCCTTTGGCTGACTGCACAGATGTGATTATTTAACATTATTTTTATTAGCAATAAATATAATCATGATTATTCTAAAGCAGTCTTTTCGATTATTTTTCAAGACTATAGCAACATTTCATTTGCCAAATCTTTTGATACTGGAGGAGATAAAGACAGGAAAGAAATGAAGAGCATATAAAACCATAAAAAGGAAGCATTTCCTTAAAAGTGGATTGACTAATGTAGCCCATTCTTCTATATTTGGAATGTAACTCTAAATCATCTGTGGATGACTTATCAAGGATGTAAACTAACTTTGCTGCAGGTATAAATACATCAGAGCCATCTAAGCTTGAAATCATTAAAACACAGTAGCACAAGCACAACACAAATAAACACATGCTGCCTTAGGACCATTAGCTCAACGCCAGAAGGCTAACCACTTCTACACAGCATTAGATCCGAGATGCCTAGACTTGCAGATCAGGCTTACTCATGTAGCTCAGTCCTATCCTTCCAGAAAAGGAAAGCAAATTTTTAGCAAGTGGCTGAGCATCACTGTACGTGCTGTTGAACCACATGCAAGATGGTTTCCACAATCAAAGAGTTAAATAAAATACCTTTCTTATACACACACACATGCATGCACACCCCTCACGTGATTCAACAGTATGTGCAATGAAGCCAGACCACCTACGTACATAAGTACCTGTATTAACATAATTCCATATGCACAGCAACATCAAACAACTCTTGAGTTATTAAGTGCAGTACAAACACAAAGAGCCAAGTGAAATCTGACATTGCACCTCTGCAAGTAAGTCCTATTGCTCTCCAGAAAGCCATACAGCTGAGCCTGAACCAGGGTCATCCTACTTCAGCTCCACCTAAGCCCAGACGCCTTCTGTGTAGATGAGCTCCCCTACAGAGTCTCCTGGATAGAACTGCCTGTGAAGTAAATGCTTCCCTTCATTATTGCTACCACAATCTTTGAAGTTTTCAACTCGTTCCTTCCTGAAGTTACCCTTTATTACCTTCACACGCTTGGCAAAACAGTGCCTGCTCCATCAGCATTTCCTAGCAAAGGACCACACATTCACCTAACTTCAGAATGCCATTAAGAAGAATGGAAACCCCCCAAAACTTTGTATTTACCCTCTTAGAGCACTAAAAAACAAGTGTAGAAACTCCATAACATTTAATGGTCTGGACCTGACAGTTAAAATGCTTGAGTGAAGGCGGATATTTAGAGAAACACATTTCAAATTAAACTTAAAATTAAAATAGCTATTTCATCATACAGATTTTTGTTTTATAAGCAAACTGTCAAAGTTCACTATGAATAGAAGCATCTGTGATTTGGTTATGTGCAACTTCATATTCTTCCTACTCAGTTTTCTGTCAAGTTCAGCTCAGTAAAGAAAACAAAACATAAATTTAACCCTTAGCAAAATCATAAGGTAGACAGTTTCCATCTAGAAAATCTTAGCAGTACAGCTGCATTTTAAGGAAAATAAACCAAATATTTATATACATTTACATACATAAAATGAAGATTAAAAACCAGAAACACTGCCTAAGTGTATCAGAATAAAAGCATGAATTTTCTTCCAAAGTATGAAACAATGACATGACAGGGAGATGGGGACTCAGGGAGATGTTTTATATGACAGTTCTGTTTGGTTTTCTTCTGTAATGCAGCTTACTAAAGAAATTCAGCACTTGAATTCTCTCTCTGTATATATATACAGTTTCTAAATTCTGTGTATCCTGGCTATAGGATATCAGTACTATATTTATTTGCCATTTTGTGTGTGTGACCATTCACATGCTATGCATTTTTGGGTCGTTGCCTAATTTTGCTTTCAATAATGTCTTACTCCCTTTAAATTCATCCCTTAGCAGATAACCAACAGGATTACCTTTAAGGAAATGAGAATTAGGTTAAACTTATAAGAAAGATAAAGGGAGATGGTGGTTGCAGAGGGAGACCTACCTCTCCATGGTTGAAAAAGAAACAAGCCACAGTAACAAGGCCTCCTAGACGGCTCCCACTGTGAAAAGAACAGGGAAAATGTGAAGCAACACGTACGTACAGCTAAGCTTACTGGGGGAGATGCTTTCAAGCATCAAGGGAAAGCAATCTATAGTGTACATATGACATTAAAATACTAGTTAGCAAGGTAATGTTCATTTCAGAGCAGATCATCAGCTCTTTTCTGCAGAACAGCAATTTTAATGTCAATAGTTTGGAAAATGGTTATTCCCCTCCTGAATAACTTTGCTTTAGATCATTACATCTTGTGCTTCACCTGCTGCACCCAGAGCTTGACCTTGAAAGTGACAAACTTTCTTTTTTTGCTAAACACCAGGCAATATAAACTGAGTATTTCTTCCCTTCCAGAAAACTTTGGAATATGCACGCTCAAACCAACAGGGAATTTTGGTCTGAATCCAAGAGTACGTTAACATAAATCAAGCACATTCAGAACCATACTGAATTAATTCATGACATGGTCAACACAAGATACAATTTAACTCTGATGTGAAATACTGTGATGTTAACATGAAAGCCTCTGAGGATTTTTGTATGTTTCTAAACCAAATTCACCTGCCGAATAAGTATTACCATGGAGTCACCACTAAAACCAAGGATATTACTTAGATTTACCTCATCACAAAACAGCCATAGGTGAGGTTCCTTTTTATTTGACTAGATTTGTAATTAGTCATGTCCTGTGATAAAAAGCAAAGAACATTTTTGTGCACAAAGGTGCACTACTACTGTGAACAACAGAATATACAAACAACCCTCAGATCCCTTCAGATCCTTCACCCATCACCAATACACAGATCAAACAGAATCAGTGAGCTCTGGGTGCAGAATCTGTGGGTTAAAGATACCAACTGCGTGCTCAAACAATCTCTAGGAATTGTGCATTCTGGCACATAGAACTCAAATTGATTCTAAAAGCATCCACAGTGAAGCCCAAAATGTCTAAAAGAATGAGCTTATATTTAAAAATGTTAGTCTTGGAAACAAAACAAACTAAAAAGTAGAAAAAAACCCAAACCCTAAGCACCCAAAACCAGAAATAAAATTCAGCATTAATATTGTGACAAAACCTTGAAGGCCAGAATACAAAGGTCTTGATTGTATTACGAGTGCTTCAGAGATAGCAGCCTTTACAAGGAATCACTATTTCGTCACGTGAGAAAAGATCACAGAACAAGGAAATGCACCTTGTCAGTATCTTTTCCAGAAAGGGAAGTGAACAGAGCCTATTTCACAGAGGGTTATGCATAGTGTTGAGGCAGACTGGTTGTCTGCTAACAGTGCAATGCTGCCGCTTACGAGAAACAGTAGTTAAGCCTATCTACACCACTATAAAAGATAAAGGATAACCGTTTCCACTGAAACTCCTGTGTTTCAGTACGTGCCCTTCAGTTGGAACCTACTTGCCCCATGTCTAATACAGAATAATCTAAATTTACTACGTACTTAGTATTTTTAAAAGGAAGTGCAAACAGTTACGCTTTGTGCAGTAAGAGTGCCCTGGAATAATGAAAGAGCTAGTCTTTTCACTCCCTGCGTACAGTAAGCTGAAGCTTAAAGTCATCTGGGGAAACGCTGTCGTTCACTGATTAACAAGCAAGAAACAAAATACTGGAAAAGTACTGTCAGAAGGAGATATGGGAAATTTACTCCAGACGCAGTATTTGACAATCAGCTTCAGTATGTTGTCCCCTGACTACAAGAATAGTGAGGCAGGGAAGGGCGGGGGGAGGCAGAATCTTACAACTGCATGAAGTACTTATCATTCAAATACCATTCTTTTGTCCATAAAAAAACAATAAGGAATGGCATGAGTTCTCACCATATTGTTTCAGTTCGCTTAACAAAGAATGCTTCAGAGCTTGAGACTAACTTGCATTACATTAGATTCCAAAGTGCATTTCATAACCACAGACCATACGCAGAGTGCTAGGGCAGGGAAATACTGTATCTGGTGATCTTCTAAGCTTGTGGGAAAATTGGTTAAGTCCTACAACAAACATATAGTCCTACAGAAGCACCTAGCTTTCTGCTAGTGTAACTCTTTCCACATGCTTATTATAGAGTACAGTGAGCACAGATGTGAGAACATGCTAGCCTGGAAAAGAATGACAAGAGAGTGGTTTTCCACTATCCTACCACCTTCCATCACTAGTCAAAGTTGCAAAGAGGCTAAAAGCACATAAAGGCTGTAATAAAAAAATTACACATTCTATGAATATATATAGAAAAAAATGCCAGAAAAAAACCCCACAATTAGGTAAGCTTGAGATGATTACTGCTAATGAATTCAGGAATGAAGAGATAAATTAGAGAATGGCTTCCCACCATCAAATAAATCAGAACAGATCAGCATCATGAAGGAGATTCATGCCAATTCATAAGCTTACCTACTTCAGTGTTGCAGAACTGCATTACTCCAGATTCAGTTCTTTTACTTTTCACACCTTATGGAAAAATCTAAATGTTCTGTCTTTGCTTTGACTAAGAGGAACCCTGGAACAGCCATAATGACTAAGCAGTCATCTTAATCTGGTATCCAACTATGAATATTCTTCAGAACAAGCAAATAAATGAATAAGATCAAAATCCTACGTGCAGGAAACTTTGCAGTCCCTTGGTATTTCTCAGAAAGCCAGTGGCTTACATGCTGGAAGAACTGCATGCATATCCTAGTTATCTTGACTACCTACACTGCAGATCAGCTATGTTAAAAACTGAATCACTATCAATACTTGATAGTTACTTATATTCAACACAGCCCAAGTACTGAGAAAGTACTGAGAAATTAAGACCTTACTAATTTTTCAATGGCATTAATATATAAAATGTGGGTTTACATACACATCCCTTAAGAGAAAAAAGACAAGTTAATGATAGGGATATTTGCAGTTTATCTACTTCCTCAAAACACAAGACATTCATTTCCTATGTTAAGAAATACAAACATAAATGCTTTACCCTCAAACACCTAATAGTTGCACTAGGCCAACTTCCTCTTTTCACTGTCAGCTCCTGCCCTGCACTGTTCTTTGTCTGAACTATCAGCACAAGCTTTAGAGAGAGCAGGAAAAAAAAAGCACAAGACAACAAAGCCAGGGAATGAGGGAGAAAAACAATCACATCTCTCAGAGGAAAATGTAGCAGCCTTTTGCTTTTTTGCAAAACTGACAAATTAAAACAGAGGTAAGCAGAAAAAACCCTGACACTTCCAGTTTTCTGCTGAACAGAGAGTCTATTTTTGTATGGAAGCATATTACAGTTCCTGAAATTTAAGGATACTGAAAACAGAAATTCATAGAAAAAAGGAAGCATGTATGTATCTCCAAAAGAACGCACTATCTTACAAGGTATTTTGCCTTCTCATTTAAGTTAGAGTTGAAAGACATGCAATATGACTTCAGGAAAAGCACTGGGAAAACTCCAGTCTCGGCTAAAAGCATACTGCCACCCAAGCTTCTTTAAAAAATTACTTGCACTGACAATTCCAAGAGCAGAAATGTAACAAAAGCCATTCAAAAACCTGTACAGCATTTAGATTTATCCACCACCTGGTGGTATCAATGCGATACCACTTCACTGAAATTTTCCACTTTTTCCAGCATCATCATTTTGAGCAAAAAGCTTTTCCGTTCCAGTAATTTTTTTAGTTGTAATGTGTATGTAATAAAAAGCACTGCTACTGTACAAATAAGCAATACCTCATTTCAGTATTCACTTTTTCAAATTCCATACAAAACATTGACAGTACCAACTAAATAGCTCAGTCTCAACTGCCTTACCTGAGGTATGTACTGTATATGAAGAACAGGGACATCATTAATCCATTCAGAAGAAAAATCATAGCAACATAAAAGGAAGCAGGGTCTCCCAACCCTAACAAACAAACAGTTAATGCATGTTGTCAAATAAAGAGAGATTACATTGCTTCTAAACCACCATACAATCAGTATAATACAGCACATAGCATACTACCTTAAGACATCTACAGAAAGAGATAGCAAATCACATCCAATGCTCTTTAGTTTGTTTCATTAGAAGCAAAGAGATTTTCCAGTAAAGCACATCCTTCAATTTATTCATTCACAAACACTTCTGGGTTCAGACTTCTGTTGTTCTCTTTTCCATTATTTCTTTACACACCCTCCTGGCTCCAATCATTCCAGCAGTACAGCACAAAAAGCCTTATTCATTACAAGGAAGGTAGTAAAACTTCATAGTTTCACATGTAGAAATTAGTATTCACCGTTGCTGAAAATACAGCAAGACAGATGTCTAAAGAAAGATGATGTTATGCTCACCAAACATGGTAGTCTCAATAGTTGGTGGCTTTGCTGGTTTGGCTTCATTTTTACAAGACACAGGAATGAAAACTTATATTCACTATTTACTGCTTCTGAATGATTCACTTTCTCCAATTATATCAAGCTCTGAAGAAAGTTCTTACAGCCTTTGTGCAAAGGAAAAACACTAATTTGTCAGCACACAAAGACATTTTAAATGATAAAATGAAATGACTTTAAAAGCTACCATCTATCCAACTTACATTAACTGACTGTAGAACATCTCAAAAGCGCCTCTCAGCATGGTACCATTATCACATAATACTTACTTGACAAGCCAATACTTTAAATGTGGGGAGGAAAAAAACCCCACCACAAAAAAGTGGCAGCACACACACAAGCTTGATACCAAAATCAAGGTATATGATTGAAACTCTTATGTTGAATAGCAGGTCACAAGTGGAAGAGGATTCTTCCCAGCAGAATCACTACACCAGATTTCTCCAAAAGGGAGCTTTGCTGTTACTGGTTTCCCCAACCTTCCCACTCCTCAAGTTGTACTTAGGGGAAAAAATACAAAGGGTAAGATTTTGAAATGTAGGAACCTGGAATGCATTGGGATTCTACAAAAGCTACAGAAATTTAACACAGGTACAGTGGCCTCCAATTACAGTTAGGAGATCTTATTCTTTATAACACTCCCAACATTATAAAGGCTCAGACTACAAATGCGAAGTTTTGAAGTGCAATACAGCAGTTCAACCTAGGGAGAAGGAGCTATGCCACATTCTCACCCCTAGTGTTCTTCAAAGTATCTTTTCATGCTTCTCATTTTTGTTGTGAGCGTGCCAAAAACACAGGCTTAGCCAAATGAAAACATCTCAGTGATAAAGACACAGGAATGTTTATTACTTCTGAAATACATCAAGCCACTATTATATGCTTCCAGGAAGAAGCCAGAATAAAACACAACTCACCCTCACAGCTTTCAACAGGACTAAGGCCTTTTCCTCTGTTTACAGTCCAACACATCTTTGTGGGTACACCAAGGAAATCCATAATGGCAGTATAGATGCGGTACCAGCTGGCGAGGACCACCTAGGTGGAGGAGAGGATTTGAAGTTTCTGAAAAGGAACTCTGAGATCAGCTCAATGCCCAAGGTCACCTCTCATGACAACTGGCCCTCATCCAGGATTCTTTTTAAACCCAGGATTTCTCAACTACTTAGCTTTTTTGACCGTAACTTCCTAAAGACATCTGACATAAACCAAGTGTTCATTAAAAGACTAAAATTCTGCCTGCTTTAGAACAGAAATAATTTCATGCATCAAACTGCAGTATTTAAAATATTACATATTTCAATACTCTTTTGTTTATCACACATTAAAACCTCAGATTTTCTTGACAGAGGACAGTTGGCCAAATTAAATCCATTAAAACTCATTAATTTTTTTTCCACCTGGCAAGAATATTCATGGACAAAGCCTTCAGGGTTTTTACTCGGATAAACTTTGAAAGGTTAAATTTAAGCATGCATTAGAAAGGGCTTCCAGATGCAACGTAAGACAGCATTTCCATTTTTTCCATGCAAAGGCTGTGATGTTTTTATAACAAAACCCAAATTAAATCTCAACACCCGACACAGAAAACATCAGCATTTTATACACAGAAAAATGATGACTCATCTCACAGCAGAGTCACTAGTTAACATTACCCAGCTATTCTGTCAGGATATAACTGACTTTATAGAGTTCATAAATGAGTAATGTGGCCATTCCAGTTGAGCTGCTTTGAAAGTTATAACCCAGGGGTTCCCAGGCTGAAAATGTTTCACCACTGCAGTATTAGCTGTCTGGGCCGTGTGTCACAGAAAACATGTACAAGAAGGATGATTCCCTCTTTTCTTTCCCCACACAATTAATAACACTCTTTATGTCTCTTCATTCTTCAAAAGGGAAACATGGGGAATTACACCTTGACCTCTGAAAATATGATGGAGTAAACAGTCCTGGAAACCACTTCTGAACACACCAAGGACACAAACAAACCTGACTGGAAGCAGTCAGCATGGATTTACAAAGGGGAAATCACACCTGCCCAACTTCATAACCTTCTGAGACGACAGTCTTGGTAGCTGAGGGGACACCTGTGGATGGTTTATGTTTGGGCTTTGGGTATTTTAATCTGGTGCCAATTTTGTTCTATGTCTTCAGACTCGATGAAGAACATCTTCAGCATGTTTCGCATGATACAAAATTGGAAGGAGAGATTGATGCTTTTGCTGCCATTCAGAGGAACCTCAACAGGCAAGAGAAATGGGCCAACAGGAATCTCAGGAAAGGTAAATGCAAAGACCTCAGTGGGAAGGAACAATATCACGCACCAGGACAGATTGGAGCTGACCAGCCAGAAAGCAGTGCTGCAGCAAAGGACCTATGAGTTTTGGTGAACAATCTGTACTTGAGCCAGCAATAAGCCCTTGTTGCAAAGAAAGTATCACGCACCAGTGCAAATTGGAGCTGACCAGCCAGAAAGCAGTGCTGCAGCAAAGGACCTATGAGTTTTGGTGAACAATCTGTACTTGAGCCAGCAATAAGCCCTTGTTGCAAAGAAAGCCAAATGTATCCTCAAATGAATGTCACCAGGACAAGAGAGGCAATCCTTCCCCTCCACTCAGCACTGCTAAGACTGTATCTCCCATGTTGAGTCTACTTCTGGGCTGCCCAACACAAGAAGGGCATAGAGTAAGGATAACTCAGACAGACTTTTCAGTTGACAAGAGATGATGATATTCAATTGAAATACATAAAGTTCCACTTACACATAGGAAAAACGTTTCTTACTTTGAGGGTTGTCAAACACCGGAACAGGATGCCCAGAGGTGGAGATGCTTGAAATTAAACCAGAGATGGCCCTGAGCAACCTGCTCTATTTCACCCTCCTTCGAGCAGAGGGTTGAGACTAGATCTTCAGACATCCATTCCCCAACCTCAACTGCTCTGTGATTCTATAAATTCATTAATACCAGGGCTCCAATCATCATCACTTACTTCATCTGTGGCCTTTACACTCTCACGATGCAAATCTTATCTATTTAAAATACACCTACATCTTTACAGGCTTAGACTCCCTGCCTCAATGTTGTATCCTGCAAAGTCCACTATCTTGAATTCCTGCAGGCTTTCTGAATGCCTGTGCCCTGGCACTTCTGACTAAGTACGTGCACATACATGAACCCAACATCTGCCCCATCTCCAGATAGGCAGCAGCAGGACTGGGGAACCAAATCCAAATCTTTCCTCTTATCACCTGAAAGTGGTTTGACACTGCCAACAGGATGCATATGGCAGCTCGGAGACATCTGTCTAATATATCTGCATCACCAGCCTTGAAGCTGACATTACCCTGAGCACACAGTACATTCTTGCTTGAATGTTCTGGAATGAAGCAATGTTGCACTAAAGCAACCTACTAATTTACCAACTGAACCTCAGACCCAGATCTCTGTGGGACGGGCCACTCTTTTGGTGTACAAGAACACCAAAATCAACCCCTTTTACTAGGTGCCTTTGATTGAGCACTTGAATGCCAACTACATGTCTTTGCAATGCTCATCAATCCCACTCCAATTTTCATTATCACTGCTACACAAGAAATATGAACTGTTCCACAACAATGAACGTCCAGGAAGCAAACTTGACACATTATCTCTCCACCACAGAGATCAACACATTATCTCTCTGCCATTCTGCATCACGGATGACAGACAAAAACACCACAACTACAGGAACAACCTGACTAGGCAGCAAATACTTGGAAAATCAAGACTTTACTGGGACTCTAATATCGTACAACTACAAAGACATGTTGATTTTGACAGGTTTTTTTTACTATTTGTATTTATAATTTACACAGATGATGTAGTGATTGCGATGGAGTCACTTTATTTTCTTCTTTCTCTTGAAGTTTTCATGTCTAGTACTAGCTGGACTTGCAAATGAATTGCTCTACTTCTTTTAATGGGTTTAACATCACTGTTAGTAACTGGATTCCAAGGCTATTTTTGATGAAATTGATTTTGAAATCCACTAAACAAACATTTTATTAAAATTCAGCCTTAATGCTACTATTGGGCTGAAAAAAAAGCTGGAAAGACCCTAAAATACCAACTAGGAAATGAAACACTTTGCAAAAACATGACTGGACACTGAGTATTGGAAGGAAAAATTTCACTGCCAATAAATAAATCCACGAGTCTTCCCACTACTCAGCCCCATTATAATAATAATAAGTAACTCTTGATAAATTTTGAGAACATAGTTCAAAGGCCGAGTTGCACCTATTGACAGTTTTATAGATGTAGTTATGCAGAAACAAAGTACTCAAGAAATACACTTACAAAAATTTACAGGAAGGCTGGACATGAAGCAGTAAATTACTGTAAGGAGCAGAGGAGACTATATGTGTGCTTTGCATGCCCACATAGGCAGAGAAGATATGACTGAATTCATACCTTATCACCAAGTTCTATGAGCCAGTACAATCCTAGAAAACTCTGAATGAACAGACAAGCCTACACACTGTGCACACTAATCTACCTACCGTTCTTACAGAATGTCAGCCACTCTATCTGACTGCTCTTGTTTTGATTTCATCATCCAATTCACTTACTCATCTTTCATGGTGATACTGATGAGTCTCTAAAAGCAAGTTCATTTGACCAGCTACCTTGGATTTTTGCAAGTCAGACTATAGCTGAAGTCAATAAATCTTTCTGAGCTAAAGAAAATAACTTCATAGTATTCAAGCAAGGCACATGTTCCTAATATTGTATTTCTAGAACTGAACTGCAATCCCTTTGGAGTTAAAAAGCACAAACAAACCACAAAGAAGACACGGAAAAAAAAGCCCAAAACAGTGAGAGGGGAACAAAAAGCACTCATCTATAGCATTTAGTTCTTCCAGAGCAAGGAATTAAGAAACAAACGAAACCACTCCATGCAAGTTGTAGAAATACATGCATGCTGAGGACTCTTACACATACAGCTCCTGAAAGCAGCTCTGCTCCGAGTGAGCAGGAGAATGAGTATAAATGCTAATATCCGACAATTACAGCCATTATTAGTCCTTGATTCTGATGCTGCTTACGCACAGAGTTACAGAAATGTACATTAACCAAAGGAGATTTCCCTTTTCAAAGGTCTGCAAAACACTGGCAGAAGCATGAGAGAGAAAACCAGACATTCCTGTCATTAAAAACATGTTCTTTCCAGTGACAAAAGAAAGCAAAGTAGGAGCACAAGTTAACCAGGTAACAAGTCTAACATCAAGTACGTACAAAACACCAGCACTCAGTCTTCTACAGAGGAATTTCTTCTGCAACATGGAAGTAAGCTATTACCACTCATGGATTTTAGGCCAGAGTGAACTATGATGTGCTAATTCATTGTCTTAAACAAAATGCAAGCCGAAATATCCTCTCGGTACCTGTATCACTGCAGGCATTACTGTCACATACTACTGATACCTTATGTGTCACATTTCCTGAAGTACACAATGTCAGCAACTTACTTGCTTTCAGTGAAAAGAACAAAAGACAACAAGAAGTGTAGAATTGGACTGTAACTTTAGGGCATGAAATGCAGAGATCTAGAAAGTATTCACATTTGATACTTGCAGTCTGAGAACTGACCTCAACATATCAAGTAACTGTCTCATTTTAAATCTAACTTAAGCAACACTTCATTAGTCACTGTACCTTTACAATCACATTTTCCAGAGTACCATTTCTTACAAATTTGTAGGCAAATCTAAGGAAACCAATCATTTACCAGAAGGTATCATTTTTAAAATGTAGCTCACCTCTGGGTAAAGATTGAACCTTTGTAAGGTGTTTATCACTAAAGGATACTCAGTAAGTCTGTCATTCATAATTGCCCATACTCCATTCCAAAACGATGGTGCCTCAATAATGATCTTGAAGTAGGAATAATAAAGACCCTACGGGAAAGCAGAATTATTATTTAGGATTAAAGAGAACACCTCTGCTTCAGGAACTGCCATACAAAACCTTTGGTTTTAAATGAAATTTTGTAATATAACACATAGGACAAAAAGATTTGACTATCTAGTTTTTCAAATCTCTTCAGTTACTGCCACTGAAGCAAGCAATGTGGGCTTCCTTCCACCGTGTTTCATAGCACGTCTGGAGAGCTCTCATTTGGGCTGGTAACTATGCACCAGCACAGTATTTCATAATTCTCAAAAGGAAAGCATCCAAAAGGTGTATATGTATGTAAACATCTATTCATTTCAAAAGTTATTTTTTAAAAGAGATGCATAACAAGAATTGAAAGCAAGCTCAAGGTACTTTTAGCTTTATATTTTATTTATATATCATACTTTCTAATCATACTTTCAGTGAACTGTGAAGAGATATATTCATAGTGATCAGCTGCAAGACACACAAATATTCGCTAGTAAAAGTGGAAAGCACGTTAGTTGCAAGATATTAATATATTTACTGATCCAGAAGGTATTAAGAAATCTTGGGAAGCCCACGATCACAAGATTATAGACAGAAGCTTTCCAATCACTACATTTGTATTGAAACATAATCTAACCATTTCCGTGCGAAAAGCCATTTCTCTTTCTAGCGTTGAGAGGTGAGAAAAATGACGGTCGTTTTCAAAAAGAGTTGTTATGTGACACCTGTTGAAAAATAATAATAATTAAAACTGAATAGAGAGGTTTCGAACCTGTACTAAGTCATAAACACCAAGGAGCAACCAGCAAAACATTCGATGAAGACGCAAAGTTTACTTACAAACTTTGCCATTTACTCATACATTATACAAACATTCTCCTCCATTCAGATTATTTTAAATGGAAAAGATATGAGCCCATAGAGCAGTCATTAAATTCTACTATGAAATTAGTCATAATACTCTTAATTTATTTCAACTGAAGTGCAGATACTGAAGGATCAAAAGTTTAATGCTATTAAAACTATCAAGTCTGCATATTAGGAAAGAAAATTCAAATACCTGACAAAAGAATCGCAGATTAAAAACTGGTGAGAATCAGTGTTAAGCAGTGCCTGGTTTTTTCCACAAAAATCTTTCCTGACTTGTATTTTGACATGGTTATTTGCCATTATGTGTAGATGTGCTTACCAACAAAACTGCATTTAAATAAAGGTGCAAGTATGGAGGGGAAGCCGGGAAAAATGCACATAATTCTGGAGGCAAAACGTGCAAAGAGGAGCTTCATCTCCAAAAAGGATGGAAAAAGAAACAGAGCACTGCGCATGACTCTGCTTTTGAATAGGAATTTGCAAGAAACAATCTACTAACAATCAATAGTTCTTTTTGAGCTAGGAAACAAAAACAGAGTGGCAGAAGCTGTTACTTTTTATCTCTGCAAAAGCAGCTGGCGAAACCCGCTATAGAAGCCATTCTATATCAAGTATATACTACAAAAAAGATGGGTGAGGATTAGGGTGGAACCTGAAACACAAGGATTGCATTGATAAAAAGTAGTCGAAAAGCCATTCTTCTGTACATAAAGGAAGCACTGGCCAGACTTCTCTGAAGAGGTTAAAGAAAACATGATGTAAAACTAAGAAATTAAAGTAGAATCTAAACAAGCAGAAGATAGGACAAAGTTGAAAGAGTTTACCTGGAGTTTCAAAATCCACTGAGAGTAAAAATGTCTGTTAGGTGGAAATGCACCTGAATTTGTACAGCTAAGCAACAATTTTCCACCTGGAAAGCAGGCTTCGCTCTTCACTGAACAGGCTTAAGAAACCTTTCACGTAAGCTTCATAAGAACAGAATTACTAATCTTGAAGAAAACAGTTCAGTATTGAGAGGAAACAATCTAAATATATGTATTATCCCAAAAGCTTGCATAAATACGAGCCAAAATGATATTTTAGTTATTTTAAAATACCACATTACTCTCAAGCAATAAATTTAACCTTACCAATGTAGGACTCCTGCAAAAGCAGCTGTAAAGGAAACAAAAGGTGCCAAGTTACTCAAATATTTAAATAACTGAACATGGTATCGTGTTCATTAAAGTAATTACAGTATTACTTCAGAGATGCACAGAAGGTACTCAGCCTCCAGAGGAAGAGAAGAATAGGAACGTTTGAATTACCGTTCATGGCCAGCTCTTTGAAAAATCTCTATTATGCTGATGGTATTCAGCAACAGGTAATGCTTCCACCTGTATCCTGCATCACTCAAGTTGATCCATCAGAATCTACTACACCCCTTCCAGCTACCAATAACAAAACTGAATTATAAGCATTTTTCAAATAACAAACATAAGTATTTTTAACACTCTGAAGTCCCTACAGTGAGTGTTCACTCAGCTCCTGCTCAGATTTTAGCTAACACACAGCTCACACCAAGGCCTGATGTATGCTAGCAGCAGCGCTGTTAAGTCAAAGCAGGGGCAACACGCAGGCAGGGCTTGGTGGCCAGAGAGGGCTGACGGTCATTATGCAGCCATCACCACCTTCAGCTTGCTGTCTCCTGCAGCCATAATGCTCACATATTGATTGCCTGGAAGTTTCTTTAGAATCTCTTCACTCACAGAAGTGGTACAGACCAGACTTCAAAGCTGGAAGAGATAACTACATCAGCTTACCCAAAAAGTTTTTAAAGCAGATCCAGCATCAGCTAGATTGTTGAGGTTTTTGTGCTTCCCCGTGTGATACAGGAGACCCCCCCCCTCTGCACCATGATGGAAGAGGAAGGATGAGCTCTCCCATCATCAGCTAGATAACTGGTTTGCTCATAGGTGAGCAAGTCAGCAGTTACAAATTGCACATCAGAGAAAGCGCGAGTTAGAAACAACGCACCTTAAGCAGCAAATCAGTGAATTCCCAAATTGGACTACTCTGCACAGAGCAGACTGAGCCCTTGTTTGTCATGTTCGTAGTTTTCTTTCCTAATGAGCTCACAAAAGCTTAATTTACAGAGACAACTGTCCTGTAAATTTGAGAGATGCAAACAGACCACAACAACCAACACAAACTTAATTGAGACTGTAATTGCTAAAAAAGGTAGGCTCTGCATGGAGTTACATTCCATTTATCCATTTGGAGACTGACTATGCTGTTGTCACACACATACAGAACAAGGAAGGCAGTCTGAGGGACAAACAGGAAAGACAAATGATGATAAAGTGGTGGCTAAACAGTTTAGGTCTCTTTCTTGAGCATGACAAGATGCACAGAGAACAGAAGCCACTCAATTTCACTCAGGCAGCGTTCACAACACATCCAGAGCTCACCATGGAAGTAAAGCCAGCATGAATATTGCAACCCTCAACACAAAACGGATGCAGACCTGCTTGAGCAAGTCCAGTGCAGGCCACAAACGTGCTCCAAGGGCTGGAGCAGCTCTGCTCTAGTGACAAGCTGAGAGAGCGGGGCTGGTTCAGCCTAGAGAAGGCATCGGGGAGACCTGGTAACAGTCTCCCAATACCTAAAAACGTCCTACAGGAAATCTGGAGAAGGACTTTCTACAAGGGCAGGTAATGACAGGACAAGGGGAAATAGCTTTATACTGACAGAGGGGAGATTTACATTAGACATTAAGAAAAACTTCTCCCCTGTGAGGGTGCTGAGGTGCTGGCACAGGGTGCCCAGAGGAGCTGTGGCTGCCCCATCCCTGGCAGTGTTCAAGGCCACATTGGACACAGGGGCTTTGGAGCAATCTGCTCTAGGGGAAGGTGTCCAGGCCCATGGCAGGGGGTTGGAACTAGATGGGGCTTTAAGGTCCTTTCCAACCCAAACCAGTCTGTGATTCTATAAAGGGCAGGCATGGAGAAGGACCGCACTGCTCTTTCTATACTGAAGGCGTCCTGGTTGCTCTCTAGGCACACAGCGGCTATGTGTCATAGAAAGGTCGGTTAGACGGGTTGCCTTCAGTCCAAGAGAACCTCTATGGTTAATGAAGAGCCCTCTTATTCACACAGGTTACATGGAGCAGAGAGAAATTGGAGGTGACAACCATCCTTACACCCAGCAGGAGCCAGAAAGGTGCTGAGCACCACGTCCCTCTCCAGGGTGCTGATCAGCACACATAGCGTCAGCCACCCAGACGACAGGGGATGGGTCAAGGTGCTTGCACAGAGGTAAAACATACATCAGCTGGCACAGCATCAGCCACCCAGACGACAGGGGATGGGTCAAGGTGCTTGCACAGAGGTAAAACATACATCAGCTGCCTGCACACTGGTTCAGAGTATAGTCAGAGAGTTAGTGAACACAGATGTGTGTTCAGACTGCATGGTATTTGCATATGGTCGTCTGTTTCTGGAAAGCAGCAGGGACAAGAGAAAGAAAAACTCTGCAAACCCATTGAATTTATGTGGAAGAGGAGTGGACTGAATGTATGCTTCATGTGCCAATGTATATCCCCAAACCACTTATTCCTGCAACAGGGAGCCCGAAGTGCTACTGCTGATAGTACTTATTGTCACCACGATGCTGCTGCTGGCGGTACTTGTTATCATTGTCAACACAGGTCATAAATGCAGTCTGATACATTATGAACCTCAATTTTAGCATTCAAGTTTTGTATACGAAGATGTGTGAAGTGACACTGGGCAAGATGAGGGGAGAAGAGGAAGGAAAACACCCCAGAATTACCTAAGGGGGAAAAAACCAAACTCTGAACTACCTGCCTGTACAATTTAATGTTTCCCTCAAGTTACATGCTTCGTATAGTAGCTGAGGTTGGACAATACTACACTGAAACTTCCTTAAGAGTCTTTCAGCTCCACTTTGGCCACCAAAGCAGTTTTCTCAAGGAGAAGCCTGGATTTCAGTTAGAAAATGAATACCACAAACATTCGCTTAGAAATTTACATTTTTACATATGCTTTCTAGAACAAATAAAAAACATCACAAAAGGATAAGCTTAGTTCACATTAAGTGGAAATTAATGTCTTAGGAAAGTTTCAGGAGTTTGGATTCTTTTTCTTTTTTAATACCAAGGACATTTCCCTTAGTTCTCACGGAGGGCTGCAAATTCCTTTTTCAGAAAAGCAGATACAGATATGATCTGGAATTTGAGGTAAGCCCATTTAGCTGTATCAGCCACACAGCAAACCATATTCCATAAACAAACATGCTTTGCAGTAATTGTATGGGAAGAAACAGAGGCATCCATACCTTTCTTAGCACTTACTGAGTCACATATTTGCACAAGGCATTATTTAATTTCTCAGCAACATTTCTAAGATTCCCCATCAGATTAGCTGCTGAAATACATTTATACATACACATACCCCAACTATAAAAAAATGTCCATCTGAGGACAGATTACATGTTAGGTAAGAATACACACCAAAGTCAAAATAAATGCACATTAACTGCCAGTACTGTTCATGATCTCAGATTCATGTAGTTCCAAATAAGCCAAATACGCAGCATTTTATTGTTGCAAATAACGGATCTATTAATATGGAAATTACAGTTCAGATTCAAACGTACCACTTGTTTCACAGAGAAAACAATATACTTAAATCCGATTCTTCCCTTCAGTAAATGTTTTATTTGAAGTCAATGCATTAAGTGTCAATACACTCACAATTATTTTGGAGGATTTCACATACATTTGTATAAAACTTCACAATATCACTCTATTATAAGCATAAACCCAAGACCTATTATAATCACATAGCAATTCATGTAATTACTCACATTTCAAGAGACAATGCGCTTAATTCATAGACTTCCACTATGAGCCCAAATCAGCATTTTCAAACAGACTGCATCCAGGCTTACATTAAGCTAGATTCTGATGGAAAACATGCAGATCAGCTCTCTTAAATTACCATCCTTCAATCTTACTAATACCCTTAGTGGGGAGGGAATGAAGGAGAGGAATGCCAGAGTCCTACTGCTACAGAGACTTAAACAGCTACTACACGCTTGAATTTGCAGATGCCATTTTCTCACCCAACCTCAGAATCCCTAAAAGCAAAGTGTATGATCAGAATTTTGCAGACTAGGGCTATTATGTAAAATCTGGTAGTTTATCTCTTCAGATTTCCTATTTTCGCCTGTGTTCTGTTCTAACAAAAGTAATATGAATGGCATATTAAAAGCATTCTAACTCTGGAAATTAAATACTGAATAATGAAGCCGTAATATATAGAACTCATTTACCAAGAGAACAACAAATGCTGAGATACTGTAAAATAACAGGATGTGAAACATACTAGAAACTGATTAATGCTTTGCTAGTGACTAGGTAGGAATACAGCAGTACTGTATGAGGGAACAATGAGGAACGTGCAAGCATCGACTACTTTTGCAGCTTAGTCAAGATGTTTCACTGCAAGATTCCGTAGAATCTAGAAAGGATGTCTTCAAGAATAAGGCCTCAATTCAGTAGTCACTACAAAAAAAAACCAAACCCCAAACCAACAACATAATAAAGTGTTGTATAAGAATGTCCTTGAAAATCTGACAACTTTATTGCTACATGTAAATCAGAGATAATTCTTAAGAGAAAAAAAACATTCCACACTCTGCAACAAAACCATCTCCAACTGTGGGAGCCTTTGTTTTTAAAATCCTTGATTTCAATCACAGGAAAGCATTTTTCAATTCTGACCATCAGTTTAACGCTTCTGAATCATTTAAGTTAACTACTAACGTTGGAAACACTGAATAAACAAAGGTAAGCAAAGCAATTCAGGAACAGCTTAATCATCAATTAGTTTGTAAGCCGAGGGTTGTTTCCCTGTTACTGCTTTGCAATGTAATTCATCAAACTGAAGAAACTCCCTTTGGCAACAAGGACTACTGGTGGTGTGATTAACAGTACCAGCATCTTTGGAATACCCTGACAGTCTTTCAATAGAATAGCTTTCAGAGTATATCGAATTGCACATCTGACAAATATGCTATTATTCAACATTTATGAATTTTAGGAATGCATTTCTTATTTAACTTTGCAAATATTCTGGTGCTTTAACCAAGACTCTGGCTATTAGCAGATTTATTATTCACACCGAAATAACAACAGCTGAATTTACAACCCCCTACCATTCTATGTTCTCCCACCCATAGCCCTCCCAAAACAAGCTGTGTTGATCGCATTACTTAATAAGAGTTGTTGCCTTTTTTATTTTTTTAAATCCTAGAAATTAACGACTTGATAGAAGAGATCCACAAATACCTGGACAATTACTTTCCTACAAATCTTCCGATACCAGACCAACTGCTACAATAACAGTTTCACAAAAGTTACCAGGCAGGAAGTTTTCTGTCCCTTTTCAACATAACTGATGCATTTTTTGGTTTTCAAAGTTGTATTTCCAAATACACTTTGACACAGTCTACAGTTCCAGAGTAAGAAAGGTAAAAAGCACAGTATCCCCCCCCACACCAATGTATTTCTTCTACTTACCCAGAAGGAAAGTGAGCCATATCTTGCTATCAGCTTTTACGACAAAGGCCTTCCTGTCATCCACAAATACTGCCAAAAGAAAACAAATACCTTGAGCATCAATTAAGAAGAGCCTTTGTAAAAGGAAATCTGCTCAAACGCTGCAGCATCAACTTTCTGTTTAAAAAGCTCGACTAGACTTCAAAAACGCTGCAAGAAGTTTCATACAGCAAGTTAGTAACTACACATAAAAGCTTCGAACATCACAGATAAGACTATTAAAGTGACTACTCGAATTACCAGGCTTTTAGTTCCAGAAATAACTTTGGCAAAATGAGTTGTCAGGGGATAATTCCTACATAGGTATGTTACTGACCAATTCGCTCAAGCGGAAAGTCAGCCTTCTAAAGAAGACACAAACCGGATGGAGGGCTGCTTACTTCTCCCCCAAACGATGCTGAAGTGTCAAAACAAGCCCT